TTTGCAGATGTTGCTTTTGCATAAACTAAAGCATGTATATATATTCTTTATGCTTCTGGAATGTCATTTGTGAGGAACTGTGTCATTTGAATATTTATAGTAAAATCTTTGAATTATATAATTTGTGAATTTTTGTTCAAATCCAGTAAATTCATCCAAAATAATTCATCTTATTTTATAAATTAACCAAGAACGTAGAAACATGGTCTTATCTGTTTGTCTGACTTATATTTCCTTTAGAAAATTTATACAATCTTCTTAATCTCCCCTACTGCATTACTTTATTACATGTCAATTGTGCTTAGTGATTCTCCGCTGGTCATGATTGTATATTATTTAGGTAGCTGACAAAATTCAGTGATTGAGCGGATAAATTTAAGATATCCTGCTGGACTCTCACAAAATGTTGATTTGGTGACCTTAGACCTCTCATTCATCTCTATTCTCATGGTAAGCTCTGAAATCAGGTTAAACATAGTCCTATACTTCTATTCTTCTCTTGATCAGTGTATAACAACATGGTTCTGAAAGTTGGATTGGTCCTGCCAGTTTAAACAGGAACTATCCCATTTACCAGTCGGGTTCATCCTGTTCAACCAAACTTAGTCAAAACTGTTAAACAATTGGCAGAATCAGGCATGGTGAATTGACTGAGCCATTCTGTTTTTGGTGGTAGGATAGCACCTTTTTCAAGATGGAAACATTTTTAGATAGCCTGTTAATGTTATATAATTAAAAATGGCTCGGAAAACTCAATATGGGGATTGCACTTGTGCAATGATAGAGACTGGTTGCCAATCTTTGTTACAGAGAGAAGGCCCTCTGATCAGTGTCAATGTGATACAAGGCCTGAGATCACAAATGTACAATAGAAATGAATCTCCTCTCAACACTCATAGGTATTTGAGAGACCTTGATTCTGTCTCCCAATTTCACTCAAACCAAATAAAAACTACACTTACAATAATTTATACCCTGTCATCTCTCCCTTTTGAACTAATTACAAGTTACAACTAGGTAGGAATAGAAATTGGCCCATCTTTCAACTGTCTGCTAACATATAGTCATTTATTCAACTAAACATCTGTAAACATTATTAATAAAAACTATCAAACAAAATAAATAATTTTACTATTTGTAGTTTATTTCTTTATGTGCATATTATATGTTTCTTTGTAACTATATTTTGATTAAAATCTGATAAACTGAATGTAAACTATAGCTCTTCCAGTTAAATGACCAGTCAAGTTACTAGAATTCTGGTCTTGATTACTACACTCCCACTTATTCCAATTTCCAACGTGTAACTGTGATATTTTGCTTCTTAATCATGTTTGGAATTTGTTCGGAATCCTTTTTTCTTTAAGTTTTCTTATTTAACTTCTCTAGAATTGAGATGCATAGCTTGATTTTAACTTTTGAGAGAAGTTTGATTTATTTCCCTTTCCTATTTCTGCTCCTATGGCTTTAAGTACCTATGGAGAAGTTTGTGTTAAGTGTAAACCAGCTTAATCAGTAGAATAAAAACTACTAAAAAATTTATGATATTTGCATCTTTTTTTGTATTTGTTGATTTGTTTTAATGCACACATTAACTTGTAATTAACACAAGACAATGTGAAGGTGACTGATTTCTCCGTTTCAGGTCTTGGCTCAGATGATAACATTAAGTCCATTTATGCCAATTTGTCTCATACCAATGATAGTAGCTCTTGTGTTTAAAGCATTGTCTGTTACTCGCACTCACATGCAATTTCTTGTTACAATTTATCTATTACTCCTTGGATAATAGACTTTGGTGCCACTAAACATATAGGCTCTACCCTAAATTTTTGTTAAACTTATTCTAAAAGTATACCTGTTTCTATTAATCTACCAAATGGTATTGTTGTTACTGCTCACTATTCAAGGACTGTTCAGTTTTTCCCCAACTTTTTCATTCATAATTTGCTTTATGTTCCTAATTTCTATTAACCTTATTGGTTTTGCTAAATTAAAGCAAGGTCTCTATGTCATAATCAGTGAAGAGCATCATCTACCATCATCCCAATTCTCTTCTGCCCATGCCTTGGCTATCACACTCATCACCAATTTCATCCTTTGTCATTTTATATTAGGACATTTGTCTAAATACTGTTTTAATATTTTACATTAATAATTTTATTTTATTTTCAAACACATTAATAAAAATTGTGACATCTGTTGTTTAACTAAGTAAAAAAAATTGTCTTATTCTTCAGCTTCTAAATTTTTTTAATTAATTCATACAAACATTTGGGGACTTTTTTTTCTAAAGCATCAGTACATGGTCATAAATAGATTTTGACTATTCTTGATGATTTTAGTATATACACTTGGATTGTTATATATTAAAATCAAAAGTTAAAATTTGAATTAATTGTCAAAAATTAATTTGAGTCCAAAGTTAGTGTATCATATCTAATAATAGTCCTAAATTTTTCTTAAATAATTTTTATTCTTCGAAAGGCATAATCCATCAAGTAAGTTCTGTGTCAACACCTCAACAAAATGATAGAGTTGAGAGAAAATATCAACATATTCTTAATATAGCAAAAGCTCTCCTATTTCAATCACAAATGCCAATCATTTTTTATCTTATGCTATAAATCATGTTGTTCACATAATTAATCATGTCTCCACCCCTGTCATTAATAATAAAACTCCTTTTGAATTATTATGAAATCATGTCCCTGATCTTTTGGTTGTTTGTGTTACTGCTTCTACCATTTTTTTCTGTAAAAAATTTGATACCTGATCCAAACGTGTGTTTTTAGGTTTTCAAAATAGTACAGAAGGATATGGCCCAAGCTCACTCCTTTCAACTTGTTATCTTTCACGAAATTATTTTCTCTCTTTTGCAATAACACTCCTTTCAACTTGTTCCGATTTCTCGACCCTATGGCCCAAGCTCACTCTCCAACAAGCCCAATTTAGATTTAACACTACTACCTCACTCCCCATCATACCAAACCAACCCTCATCAACTACGTAAGTCAAACTCTCATTCGGCCAAACATTCACCCATATTACTCTCCCCTGAAGCAAACGAGCCCATTTCAAACAATAGCACACCAACCAAGTAGTAGCGCCCAAAATTCTCCATCTGAAGCTCCTTCATCAGAACCTCAGCTATTCTCATCTTTCACCATCTCATTGTCACTTTGCCTTGTCTCTATCATCTGAACTTGAGCCACTCAGTTACCAGGAGGTAGTCCAATACCACTATTGGCCTGAAGCCATGGTCGACGAGATAAGGGCGTCGGAGTTGAACAACACTTGACAAGTTATTATTGCATTTGTTATACCACTGTCCACTGACAATGAAGTAACGGAGAATATGGGTTTCTTCATTAAAATCAAGCAAGAGTAACAGTGACTCTTGAGTTTTATGCTAATCTGAATTGATTTAACTAAAGTGATGATAATGTTTTTTCTTCCTTTTCAGTTTGGAGTTAATAAAGGAGAGGTGGCTAAGCATTCAAGAGACAAAAATCTTGCAAGTAAAAAAAAAAGTAAGCTTGGGAATCACTGTCTAGTTTTACTAGTAATGTTTTTTTTGGTCTTGATTCGTTGGTTCTTGCCATAATTCGTGAAATGGTTTGATTAGCATAAATTGTGTCATTTTAGAAATTGAAGTACTATCAATATATATATATATACAGTGCTTTGTAGTATTTGTATTTATTTGTTATAGGATGGTCATTACTCATTATTCGTATTATTTTTGGCATATCTTATTGATAAAGATCCAAGAAAAGTTCAAGTCGGGTTCCACTTTTATATATTTGTATGGTAGGGGATCTGTATACTTGAGATTGTTCTTAAAAATTATTTTTTAAAGTTGAAATAAAAATAAGGTCACATTATTCTTGTTCTCCATTAATTCTTAATTAATCTTTGTCTTTAGTATTGATTTAATATTCTTTATATTTTTCATTTATTACTTGTTCACAAATTAAGTTATGCAAATCACCTGATTTGGTATGTATTTTTATTCAATGTAAATTAAACTAAATAATTAGTTTATATCATCAATTAAATTTTATCATCCCATGTAAAATTTACATGAATATTATTAATAATACGATTAATTATATTCCATCAAATATCACATTTTTCTTAATATTTAAAGACCAATTTTAAACAAAATAAAATAACAATTACTTTTAAAACAACATTTATTTTTTTTAATTGTGATATAAAAAATAAAATCAATCCATACATAATCTTTCTATAGTACAGTGCAACAACTTTTTAGTAAGAAAGAAAAGGATAAACATTTTGATAAGAAAAGAATGTTAAAGTTTAAAATTTTCAAAAATTAAAGATAAAAATGTTTTTTTTTAATATCTTAAAATGACATAATTTATATTAAAAGATTTTTAATCTAAAGTAGATGTCAACGTGACATTTAATATAATAAATCATTATTTTGTTATTATATTTTAATATTTTTTTACGATAAAGATTAAAATATTGCAATTTTTTATTTTAAGAAGTAATGTTTAAAACTTTAAATACAACGACGTTGCACTGCTAAATAAAAGTTTTCTCAAAATTTTTTACACAACGAATCAATTAAAAAATGGGAGAGAAGTTGAGGATGCAAATGGTAAGACAATGGAGGGTGGATTAAATTATAATAGAAATAAAAGTGAAAAAATTATTTTAAAAAAAAAACGTAACTGCCTAATGAAATAAAAGCATAAAAATTGATCATTTTGTGGTTCTAGTATTTTCGAAAATAATGACTTCATTTCCAAAAAGTATTTTCTATTTTCTATTTTCTATAGACTTTTTATATCTAACAATTTGTTAGAGATAGTTATTTGCCACTTCTAGGAATATTGGAATTAAAATAGACTTTTTATTTTTAATCCTTAAAAAACCATTTTTGTTCATCTTTAACGAATCTGGAGACAAAATCAGTAGCAAAATGCTTTTCTCTAAAAAAATTGACATTTTAAATGATTGTCTAGTACAAGACTTCAACACCTGTGCTCTTATAGATCCATCTTTAGCTTCAGTATTTCCTACACAAGATACAATTTTAATTGTTCTAGTGCTTAAATTAGAGCATTCAGTACAACAACTTCTTGGAAGCCTCTTTGGGGCAAGGTCTCAATGAAGGTCCACCACATAGGCCTTTATTATTTGAATAATTTACCATAACATGACCATTGGTGAAGCTTGGAACTGGTCCTGTCAAAAGATTGTTGGACACAGTAAATGTCTTGAGTCGTTGGAGAAGACCCAATTGTTGAGGAATTTGACCACTTAGTTGATTCTGATCAAGTTTAAGGGCATTCATGTAGGAACAATTTGCAAGACTACTGGGTATTACCCCAGAAAATTTATTTGATGATAGATCAAGAAATACCACAAAGGGTAGAAGAGTGGCTATGTCACTTGGAATGGCTCCTGAAAGATTGTTCATTGAAAGGTCTAAGCCATTTAAGCTAGAGCAATTCCCAATGCCTCTAGGAAACTGACCCTTGAGGCCCATGTTGGAGAGTTTCAGAATCAAGACTCTGTTCTCAATTTGGTTCCAACACTCAACCCCTATGAACCTGCAAATGAACCCTTCAGTTTTGTTGTTGAAATTCCAAGACTTCAAAATATTGTAAGGGTCTTCAAGGGAATCTTTTATGCTTTTCAAGCAGAAGATATCAGTGTCAGTTCCATAGCTCGTCACCAACAAGAAATTAACAACAATAAGAGAAGTGAAAATTTGGCTACTCTTAACCATCTTCACCAAGAACACACCCTGAGAAACAATGAAAAGAAATCAGAGAGTAGAAAACATTAACACGGTTCAACATTGCACACAAACCAAGTCAACCATCCAAATCTATAAACAATGAAAATTAATATCAATCCTTAAGTCTGATTTTAAGTAATTAAAAGCGAAAAATAAAATATTATTACACTGAGAATTTAAAAACGTAATAAATATTTTTTTCAATAAAAGTAAATTTAAATGATTGAAATCGTAAAAATAAAGGCAAAAACTCTTTAATTTAGACCATAACTTACAATGCAACCAAGAAAGGGCACTTGACAGATATCAAAACAAAGTAAAAAAGTTGTGTATGGGAACAATGAGCTTTTGGTCTTATATATGAACGTATATGGTTTGAAAATGATAGAAGAAGAGAATAGAAAAAAGGTGCCTTTGTTGAATATACATATGGAAATGGAACGGGTCAAACAAGGAAAGCCAAAAATTTCCATGCTTCAGAGAAGACTTGGACTATGGAGACGTGAAGCTTGAGAGAAGCTTTGGACTAAATATTTATTTTAGTTCTTTAAATTATAAGTTTTAATTATTTTATTTTTTAATTTTATAAAAAAAAAGTTGCTATAATTTTGTATTTTATAAATGATATTTATTTCAGTATTTTTGTATATGCAAAATGATAATAAAAAATAAATAATTTTAAAAATTAAAATAAAATTTATACAATTGAGAATTAAAATAATTAATATTTATAATTTAATAGACTAAAATAAATATTTACACTGATTATTAAATGGGCCACAACAATTAGAGATATAAAATAAGTGCTTGAATTTTAGTCTTGTAAATGGAGGATACTATACGTTTATTCAAGGATTAAGAATATTAATAAATTGTACTTATTTTGTTAATCTAGTAGTTTTCAATTATTACCTCATAATATTTACGTTGTTCATCAGTTATATGTAGGCATAGAAGTATTAATATACAAAATATAGTTTACAAATAACGTAATCACATAACTATATTTATAAATACGTATATACCTTCAAATAATTTTTACTTCTACATTTGAGATAAGTAAGAAAATAAATGGTGTTTCCTAAGTAATTTTTAATAAATAAATAGGTTTAAATATGTTTTTATTTTTCATTAGTCAATATTTTTTATTTTAATTTCTTCAAACAAAGTCTTTTTGTTTTGGTCTTTACTTTTATAAATGTTTACTTTTAGTTTCTATTATTACTCAGTCTGTTTAATACATTGTTAAGTATCAGCTTTTAATTGAATCATCTTAGTTTAAAAAATTAAAAATAATAATTTTAAAGAGGTAAAGACCAAAATAAAAAATTTATTTAAAGAAATAAAAATAAAAATTTTACTAAAATATAAGGACTTAAAATACATTTAAGTTTAAATAAATATAGAGAATTTCTTTTTTTATTTCCTTTAGCTTAAGTGTACTTTAATACCTATATTTATATATATATATATATATATATATATATATATAATTTTAGTTCCTATATTTTTAATTATTTACATTTATTTTTTTAATTATTCAAATTAAATCCTTCACCTTAAAAATTTATCAAATAATTAATAAAAATATAATAAATAGGTAAAATATTTTTTATTTATATAAATTTGTAAAAAAATAAAAGTGTATTAAAACAATTGAATGAAAAAAACTTATACTGTATTTTATCTATTTTATTTAGTTTTTTTATTCAAAGATTTTATAATTTATTTACTATTTTATATAAATCAATAATATGTCACACTTTCATTATTTATTTTTTTCAGTTTTTGAATTAAATTTTGAGATGAGAGATTAATTTAAACAGTTAAAAATTAAAGAGAGTAAATATAAGTAACTAAATTAAGAAGACTAAAATTACATTTAAATTAAAATGTAATAATTAAATGTCCAATTTAATCCTTTTGTCATGTAAAAACAAAGAAAATGTCAAAGTAAAGTAGACAGTAAGCTAAAGATTTTTTAAATATAGTGAAAAAATTTCAAAATTTAGAAATTAAGTTTTGAATATAAAAGAGTGAGTTATTATCTATATAAATTGGTAAATAGAAGCGAGTGAGTTGAATAATCTCATAAGAGGTTATTAAAATTTTAAATTTTGATGTACAAGCATATATATATATGTAATGAATTTATTATTATTATATTAAATCTTTAATGTATTATAAACTTGGTTCACTTTAAGTTAATAATAAATAGACCATTATTTAATTATTTTTTCTTAATTAAGCAATTAACAAACTAATATTCTTTAAAAATTCGTATGGTATCATATAAAAAGAAAAAAGAAATAAATTAAATTTGTTAAAATAGTCTTTAAATAATTAAAATATCATTTTAGTTTTTAATTATTTTAAAACTCATTCAAATAGTCTTTAAACTAAGTAAATAGTCGTTTCAATCTTTAATGTATGTAATTGAGAGTCATTTTATTCAATGTCATCACCTAAATTTTAGTTACTCTAATAGTAAACTGACTTGCATATTAAGTTTCGGCTAGACTAGAAACTAAAATGATAATTTTTTTTAAAAAAAATAAACTTTAAATCATATCACTCTCTCATATTATTAAATATCATATGTCATGTTAATTAATATTTAACATGTCAAGTCAGTTTATTTGTTAGAATAATTAATGTTTAAGTAACAAATGTTTAAGTCATTTTAGTTCATCTTGTTACTTAGAATAACTAATGTCTAAGTAATAAGATGAACTAAAATGATTGATGATTAATATAACATATCAATTAATTGATGATTTTATGTGTTGAAGATTAAAATAATATTTTGCTTAATTTAAGGGCTATTTCAATAAATTCTAGAAACAATAAAAAATAAAATAATTAACAATTACATATGTTGAATACTAAAATGACATTTTATTTTCTAGAAAAATGACATTTTATTTAGTTTTAAGATAATTTTTCTAAATTATAAAAATAATAGGCACCAAAATTATAGTTTATTAAAAAATAAATTTTTTTTCATTAATTCAAGAAAAATATACATCTTATAATATTATATAAAGCTTACAAGATGTATCTATTTTCCTTTTAAAGTAAACTTCCCATTTAGTTACTATTAAAAATTTTAATTTTTGAGATTTTAAAACATTTTTGATAGTTTTTGACATTTTTATTTGTTAATCACTTTCGTCTTTAGAGTCATGTATAATAACATAACATTAATATGTCATCATATTAAGTGACAAATATAAATATAAATATGGTAAAAAATAACATTATTTTTCTATATGGAATTGATTATGTCTTAACAATACATATTTTTTCCTTATTTTTCCAACATCAACATTTCTTAGTATACATTTTTTTTTTCTCTTATCTTTTCATTGTTTGTTTTTATTAATATTGCTTTGGCTCCAAGAACAAAATTAATTGATAATATTAAATATTTTACACTTATAATTTTAGAGATTAAATAAAAAGTTTAGCCTTTTTTTTCCCTAATAAACCATATAATAAATGAAAAGGATTATAACATGTGAAAATGTTAATTAATCCTACAAACAACAGTATAAATGAGAAAATGTGAAGTCTCTGTGCACATTCAAGGGGAAGACATCTATGTTGCCCCTACATTTTTAAACGTAAATGTGATATAAGAAAGAATAAAAATATATAAATAAATGCAATATAATATTAGGTCAGTAAAGCATTGACTTGAGGCCTCCAAAACGTGTTAAAAAAAATTAGTTATTACATAAATAACCTTAAAAATAAATATTATTTTAAAAAATTCTTATTATGACATGTTTTTTATTTTAATAAATAACTATTTATTTTTTTAAAAGTATTGGTTGAATTTTCTTATTATATTACTTTTAATTAATATACATATTACTATTATTTTATTATTAGAACTAACATCGTAATAATTATCACAAATGTCAAATACTTATTACACGATAATGCTTATGAAATATTATCAATATCTATAACTCCTGTAATTTCAAGATGAATAATTTTTTAAAAATTAAAATTAATCAAAAATTACTTAAGATGAATAATGTTTTAAAAAATTAAATAGACTGACTTTATTATTGAGAAGCAAAGAAATAATAAATAAATTTGAGCACAATAATTTAATAACTAATTTTACATCTGAAAATGTGTTAAAATATAAAATTTAAATAAAATAATAATTATTTAAATCATTTAAAAAAAATCATCTTAAAGTTTACTCTTGAACTTCTCACTAGAAAGTGTATCATGTTCCAACCCCTGTCAAATGCTTCTTACAAGATTTGTCTATGTTTTGCAAAAGTAAGCATCATGGTGAGACAAAGTTTAGTTTCGTGCACTAAAATCCCTAATGTCTTTTAGTTATAATAACATTTGAAAATAAAGCCATGCACAAAGACATGATTGGACTCTTGTGTAAGTTTAGCTACTTTTGATCCCTTTTGTAAGCAACAACAATAAGAGATAATTTACACCAACAACATTAGTTAGAAGTAGCTCAAATGAAAGGCCTATAAATTTATTTTTTATTAATTTTATGTCTTAATTTTCTTTTCTTGCATGTACTTAAAAGTTTGCTCAAAGCTAAACTTAATCAGAAAAGAAACTGAGAAAAAACTTGAAGCTGAAGCTGAGATGCCCAACAAGTAAAATAATTGAAACAACAAAGCGAGTAAGTAACCAAAGAGTTGTCATCATGAGACAACACAATGCCATCAAAGAATTCACTGAATCTAATGGGAACACAACCAAAATTAATATGCGTATGTAAAAAGTGGCCAAGGCTATGTGTGGGGAACATGATTTTTATCATCATGCTACTAACTCTAACTAAGTATCCTAAAAGCATATAATCCACCTTCAAGGGCTTGGAACTGAGACATTTTAATGATATAGGAGAATCAAATTAGAACACATTAATCAAACAATACACATCCTCAAACCACCTAAATCATCTTGTTTAGTACCAAAGCATTTTTTTTTTTACTTATTTATTTATTGCCCAATATTTTTAGCATACTAATTGACATTATTAGTACATTAAGTCCATGTTTGGATGAGTATTGACATTATTAGTACATTAAGTGCTGGTTTGGATGAGTGTTGAAAGCTTCTAAACTTAGGTTTAAAGATGTGAATATGTTTTAAATTTTGTGTTAACATGTTTGACAAATCTTATTTCTACACATATTTTAATTATCATGTTAAAATATAAATTTTATATTGAACAAAAAAATCATATTAATTTTTACTAGAAATTCACTTTTAAATAAAAAAGTTTTTAAACATAAATTATATAAATATAAACTCAAT